CTCACTTCCTACCCCATCTCGACTTCTCTCCTTCCCAGCAGACAGGTCAGCTCTGTTAGTAGCAAGAGGCCCCACTGTGAGTCTGTATATCTGCCCTTACTCTGCATCTGCAGCTCTGCTGGTATGGTTCTTCTCTTTAAAAAATGTGATTTGCAATACTGTTAATGGCAGTTTTGTATGTCCATGAGCAGAAGTAGCAAGAATCCTAGCTTCTTTGTGTTTCAAGGTGACGCCATGAGTCATTTGGTGCACATGCTCACTGTCCCTGTCTGTACTTTTGAATTCGATTGATCTGCATGTGGAGTTAATTGTTTGCTATTCATTAAGGCTTTGTGTGAGACTTGCATTTCCATATATGTTAGAGTTCCAGTATATGGATCACTATGGATTTCTCTCTGAGCTCTATGAGTTCTTTTTTTTTTTTTTTTTAGTATCTTAGTATTGGTGTCAGTGCTGTTTCCTCACCTATTACATAAGGGTGACATTACAATGAATATGAAAGGCACAAGACCTTTCCCTTCCTGTCCCTCCCCTCCATTCCTTGGGTTGGACACTCTCAAACTGTGCTCAGGGGGCTGGGGTCATTGCTGACAATAACTAGCCAACCACACCAGACAGTTCAACATGAGGGCCTGAGGATGTGGTGTTGCCTGGACTCTGGTTGCAGGCACAGGAGTACTAGGTGGTGCCACACCTGTAGTTGTTAGACTCTGGACCATGTGTGGTGCATACTTATGCACCTGACCCCTTGGACCTCCTTTTCTTAATAAACTGGGGAGCTGGGAACTGACTTTCCATCTCTTGGGTACCCGATTGCATTATGTCAAACAGTCAGCATCTGCTCTGCTGAGGCAGCGACAGGGCTTGCTGACCTGGGCTCGGCTTCCTGTGGCTTCTCTAGACTTGGTTTGTGTTCTCGGTTGGATTGCAGTTTCACCTGGAGCTTCTCTGTCCCTCTCTGCACCTTGGTTTGTGTGCCCGATTTCTATCTTACTCAGTAACTCTCACTTTGTGCTCCCTTTTCCACCACATAGCAGATGTAGGTCCCTGGACGGCAATTCTGGGTATCACTGTCAAAGTGGCTGCATGATATTTGGGATTGTCTTTGAGGAAGTAGGTTAGGAAATGTCCTCCTAATGTGGTCAGATAGCATTTAGTGGGGTACATGCTTTCCAGACCGTTTCATCACTGCTATAGGAGAATTCTGCCTACATCTACACTGAACTTCTGCACAACACATTTTTTTCTTTCTTTTTCTTTTTTTTTATAATATAGGAGCACTGCTAGTTATTCAGCCATTGAGTAAGCTGATTGAATTTGGTATGAACTTCATATTACTTTAAATTTTTTTTTAATTTTATAAGTTCACAATGTTTGATTACACTCAATATTCAGACACTAATCCCACCACCACTACACCTTCCCTCCACCAAATTCAGGATGTTTCCATCCCAAACCCCAATCCCTGTTACAAAACATAACCAAAGTACCATATTTTGTATTGTCTGTTATGAAGAACTGCTGAACATGCTTACAAAAAAGTGTTCATATAGGAAACAGTGTGAAGATTGTTCTATTTTGGCAGGAACCATTAAGACATTCTACAGGTTTTCACTAATATGTTGTTAAAGTTTGGATGGTATGAGCTTTGGTATACATATCTGAAAGTATGTATATATGCATATATATGTATTCTGCTCTATTATTTGTTGCCTACTAACTGAACCCCATCAAATGTGGTATGGTAATTATGGAGAATTGCTAAGGAGTGTTTTATGATGTGTCACGTGGCTGCTTTTGCAGCCGCTCAGTCCAGGAATATATTTACTCATATGTGAGGCTCGGTCTGAGCATGTGGGAAGCAGCCTTGAGCATGGCAGTGGTTGGGTTGTGGAGGTTTTTGGCTGTCAGAGCTGGGTTCCTTAGGGCAGGGAGGGCTCTCACCTGCCCCACTCTGGGAGGCCCTATGTGAAACAGCCTGGCGTGGAGTCCGGTGGCATGGTTATGGGGGCCTCATGTTATGCTCCCTTTTGGGAAAAGCAGCCATGTGATCTGGATGTTGGCCGATGACGAGATTATCTGGCACCAGCAGGAGGTGTCTTATGGGCGTGATACCTGGGTTGCCGGAGACTGGGGAAAGTGGGCAGAGGATCTCTACTCCTGGTCCTGTTGAGCCCAGAGTCCAAGATCACAAAGTTCCGCATTACCTGGGTTCTGTAGGACTTCACTCATGTTTGAGGCTTGGCCTGAGCATGTGGTGAGAGGCCTTGAGCATGGCACGGGTTCCTGCCTACCTCTGTGCTATAGGCCCTAACTGCATCTTTTGATCTTTTTTGAGATTTATGGGTCTCTGAAATAAGGCCAATAAATGAGCTTATGTAGCTGAGCTGGAAGTGGTTTGTGGGTGTTTCTCCCACATACCTAACTTTTGGCCATTTAATTTCTTGGTAAACTTGGCCCCAAGTTGTTTGGTCAAAGGCACGGCAGCAATTTTGGGGCATCTGGAAGTCTGAAGGCACCATCAGGCTGCTGACGCACTGACCCCACAGGTACAGGTTGACCTGCTGGTGGCACCATACCCCCTACAACACACTTTCTAGTTATGTTCTTCTCTCATTCCTTAAATTAGCCTTTTCCACGCCATTTTTTAAAAAAGGTTTCCAGCATCTCCTCACTCTTCCTGATGGAGGCTTATGACCTGTATTCTTTATTTCACTGATGAAGTGAAAATACTTTGAAGAGAGTGGATCTATCTTTTCAATGCTGAAAGTTTAAATATACCGTATCTATGCTTTGCACTCTTTGTTTTGGTTTGGGGTCACACCTGGTGGTGCTCAGGGTTTACTCTTTGCTCTGTGCTCAGGGACCACTCTAGGCAGGGATGTATGGGGTACTAGGAATTAAACTCAGTTCAGCTGCATACAAGGAAAGTGCCCTACCCACTGTACCATATCTCTAGTCCAATGCCCACACCCTTATCCATCCTCTCTCAGAAGCCTGTCCTTCTGCTGCTGCGTTTTCCTCTCAAGATTCACAGACATTACTCTAAAGGTGATTCTTCTCTCTTTAAGTCTTTCTGTTTACTGGGGAATCCCCATCAGCATACAAAAGCATCTTGCAACTGAAAATGCATGTTTTTAAATAAAAAGATATTTTTCATCTTTGATTGTTAGGGAAATGCAAATTAAAACAACAATGAAATATCATCTTAGACTTGTGAGAATTATTATGACTCAAAAGATCAGAAATATGAAAGTATTAGAAAAGAACTCTTGTACTTCACAGTTTGAAATGTAAATTGGTGTACTACCACTACGAAAAACAATATATTGATTCTTAGAAAAATTAAAAATAGAAATTCCATATGATCCAGTTATCTCTCTTCTGGTATTTACCTGAAGGGTACAAAAATTCTAATCCAAAGAGGTATATACATTTTTGTTCATTGCAGTACTTTTTAAAAAATTTTTAATTTATTTTTTTTGTAGGAGTACCACTATTTATTCAGTCACTGATTAGCTGATTGAATTGGGCATGAACTCCACCTTAATTTTTTTTTATATTTTTTTCTTTTTATATTTATTTATTGAATCACTGTCGGAAAAGTTACTAAGCTTTCAGGTTTAAGTCTTGGTCATACAATGATCAAACACCTTTCCCTTCACCAGTACTCATTTTTCACCATCAAGAACCCCAGTATACCCCCCCTCCCACCCCCCAAATGCCTGTGAGGCAGATGATTTCTACTTAACTCTTCTCTACATTGATTACGTACATTATTTCAACAAAAGATGCACCATTATTGTTTAGAATTTCCCCCCAAACAATCAGAATTGCTGAAGCTGGAGGTGGTTTGTGGGTGTGTCTCCCACATACCTAACTTTTGGCTGTTTACTTTCTTGGTTCGGAGAGCCCGGCAAGCTACCGAGAGTATTCGATATGCCAGACACAGTAACAACAAAGTCTCCAATGGAGACGTTACTGGGCCCGCTCGAGCAAATCGACGATCAACGGGAGGGCCTTTACCTTTACCTTTACCTTTACCTTTACCTTTACTTTCTTGGTAAACTTTGCCCCAAGTTTTTGGGTCTGGTCAAAGGCACAGCAGCAATTTTGGGGTATCTGAAAGTCTGATGTTGCCATCAGGCTGCTGATGCACTCACCTCACAGGTACAGATTGACCTACTGGCGGCACCATACCTCCTCATTGCAGTGCTTTTGACAGTAGCAAATATTTTAAAACAACCTAAGTGCTCATCAAGACGTGATTAAATCAAGGAAAAATAGATAGGCACCATAAAATTTCACTTATGTGTAGTAGATAAAAACAAACAATGGATGAGCCAAATAAAATTAACCTTTTAAGATCATAAAGTCAATTTAGTGGTTACCAGAAGAGAAGGTTTAGGAATGGGAAAATTCAGTAAAAGGGATCAATTGCATGCTAAAGGATGGAAGCTGCACTTCCGGTGGTGTATTATATACATTATATGTAGTGTATACAGATGTTGATTTACAGTGATATTTGCCTGAAATTTTTATAATGTTTCAATGCAGTGTTGCTACTTCAGTTTAAAAATTAAAATTTCAAAAAAAATTTAAAATTTCACTTGAATCCACTTGTCTATAATTTTTATTTCTGTGAACATTTTCAAAAAGAATTGCCTATACTTTCTCTACTCCCTTCCTTCCTCCAAACCTCCCTCCCACTTACCTTTCTTTCTGGATCATATTGAGTGGTGCTGAGTGCTTACTCCTTGTTCTGTGCTCAGGGGTCACTTCTGGTGACCCTTGGGGTACCTTGTGGAGTGCTGACGAGGAAACAAGGCTGAGCACATGAAAAGCAAGCATTTTAAGCTTGTAGTATATTGCCAGCCCTATTTTTCTCTTAATTACCTTCTCTGCTTTTTCTTAAACTACAATGATATGCTTTGGAGATTTTTTTTTATGTTCCAAGGTTTACTGAAGCTTAATTCAGTTTTATTTATTCTTTTTGGCAGGAGGCTCCCGAGTGATGATCAGGAGGCCGGGGGACCACGCCCAGTGAATCTTGGCCAGTTGGGTGAGTGACGCAGTGTGAGGCTCTGTGGATGCAGTGCTTCTTAGGCCCTTTGATGCCAGGGACCACTTGGTTGCCCTTCCCCTGGGATGCTCTCCAGGGTTACACCCAGTGATGCTTCGGGGGAATGTGAGCAGTGGGTAGAACCAGGGTTCTTCTCGATTTTACCCACATTTAATCTCTGCTGAAATATCACCTTTTCCTAGAATCCACCTCTGGAATCATACATTACTTAGACCTTTCATTGAATCTCACCTGTCAGATATCTTTGTCTCTCCTTTAACTATCATAAACTCTTTGATTAAAAAAATTCTAATTTTCCTAGAACAATATTTTACAGTGCCTAGTACAATTAGCAATTAATAAATATTTGTTTGAGAAAAAAAAGACAAATAGCATATTCAGAGTTTTTCTTCACAAAAGGGATTTGGTAGATACTTTTTTGGTACTTACTGTTTAAGTCTTTTTCAAAATCATTATACTAAAAAGATTATTACAGAGATAACTGCTTCAAGGTTCTTTTTTTTTTTGTTTTGTTTTTTTGTTTAAGGTTCTGGGTATGGAATAATAGAGCACTAGTGAAAGCATAGGAAGTTACTTTTGGGGGGAGACCCGGTTATGTTGCGGGGCCCATAAAATCCCAGGGATTGAACCCAGGACTTCTGCATATAAAGCATGTGCTCCAGCAACTTTGATTCACTTTCAGCTCTTGCATATTTAAACTGGGTTTTTGTTTTCCATCGGTCATTTTTATAAGGCTAACTGTTTGGAATCAAAGACTGAAACACTTAGCTTTCATGCTGGTATATACAAAGCCTCTTGAAGACAGATGAAGGTGGGACATGGCAGTGTGGAAGCCAGCATGGAGTCATCATCATTTTGACCTCATTCATTACACCTGCTGTTTTGTTTTTCGAGAACTAGGTCCCACAGCCATGCATGATGTAGTTAAAGAGCTGTTATAACTAGAATATGAGTATCTTTAAACTTCATTTGCTTTGTCTGGAATTTGCTTCCTCAGTTTCCAGCACCTCTACAGCACAATCACATTTCTTATGAAAACGCAATGAATTGTAGCTTTAAAACACCAAGAAATTGAGAAAAAGACTTTGAAGTTCTGAGTACTTTTGTTCACTGCCTCATAGACCAATTTTCATGTGGTGGGTGAGTGACCACAGAGGCTATTCACAGTCAGGACAGTGTCTAGTGGAGCTTCTTGGTACTGCTGAGTGTAAGAGGGCATTTGCCTCTTGTTCTCTTTTGTAAGTTAGAGAATTCTGACATGGTTTTCTGAATAGACTTCTAACTCCTGAGCATGGACTATGGGGAGAAAGATGGAAACTTAAAACCTAATTATAGAGCATCCAAATAGGAGCCTCCCATTGCCCAAGCAGCACAGCTCTTATGGTCAGTACAGGCCCCTGAGCTGGGGCCCTTTGGTGGTAACTGAAATGGCCTATTCTTTGCGTATTTTGAGTGGAGTACTTTCATTCTCTGAGTTTTAATACACGGTTTCAGGATCCTTTCTTGCTTCCTCATGAGACAGTGTGATTTTTGGGGACCGGCTTCTCAGACACTGTTCAGGGCCCGGGGTAGGTCTTTCCCTGCAAGGGGACCTTGGGGCTCTCTCTGACAGTGATGAGAGGAATATGGTGTCTGGGATTGAACACAGGGATTAGTCATGGAGCTTTGGGAATGCCATCCTGTGCTCCAGCCTTTGGACTGTCTTCTGACTGCTTTTCAATTTTTTGCTGAAAGTAGAAGTTCAGTAATGTTGTGGTTGGAAATTAGGTTAAATGGTGGGTTGTTGTTGTTGTTTGTTGTTGTTGTTGTTTGGTCACATCTGATGGTGCTCAGTGGGTATCCCTGGCTCTGTGCTTAGAAGTGACCCCTTTTGGTGTTTAGGGGAGCATTTGTGGTGCTGGGGTTGAACCAGGGTTGGCAGCTAAATAGTGGGGTTTTTTTTGTATTTTATTTTTATGTAGGAGTACTGCTATTTATTCAGTCACTGATTAGCTGATTGAATTGGGCATGAACTTCACCTTACTTTTTTTTTTCATAATTTAATTAATTAATTAATTTATTTTTCTTATATTTATTTATTGAATCACTGTGGAAAAAGTTACAAAGCTTTCAGGTTTAAGTCTCGGTCATACAATGATCAAACAGCTCTCCCTTCACCAGTGCTCATTTTTCACCACCAAGAACCCCAATATATCCCCCGTCTCACCCCTCCCAATGCCTGTGAGGCAGATGATTTCTACTTAACTCTTCTCTACATTGATTACATTGATTATTTCGACAAAAGATGCACCATTATTGTTTGGCATCCCCCCCCCCCCACCTCAACAATCATAACTGCTGAAAAGGCATTGTGAAATACTTTGTTTTCTATAGCTGGTTATGAGAATCATATAATGTAGTGTGGCGGCTATTGCGCCTGCGCGATTTTGGATTTCTGCAAAGAGCCAGATAATTGCGAGATTGGTTTCTGTGCATCTGGTGTTATGGCTGTGCTGGAGAGCCGCTCGTGGGGGGCAACTCGTGACCTCAGTGGGGTGTGAAGGATGAGCCAGTACCACCCACCCCCCCCACCCCCCTTCCCAAGAGACTGCAGTTGCCCCGTCACCGCTGGCTCATACCTGGCTTCCCTATAAGCCCTGAGGTGGTGGCCACCTTGCTGCTGGCGGGGGCGGGGGGGGGGGTGAAGGCAGAAGGGAGCAACACCCTTTCCCTCCCGGGGAGGCATGGCACCGTAGTTTAATGCATGGTCCATTCACTTTTCGGCTGCGAGCTGCCAGGCTCTGGACTAAGTCCTTTAGCCTCTGGAGCTATGGTTGTGCCAGAGAGCTACTTGTGGGAGGCAACTGGTGACCTCAGTAGGGCATGAAGGATGAGCTGGTACCATCCCCCTTCCCATGAGACTGCAGTTGCCCCGTCACCGCTGGTTCATACTTGGCTTTCCAATAAGCTCTGAGGTGGCGGCCACCTTGCTGCTGGGGGGGGGGGGGGGCGGGGAAGGCCGATAAGTAGTGATTCTTGATTAATAAAACACACACATATACCTTTAATTTATTTTAAAGAATACATTTTTATGTAATTTGTTTTATTTAGTCACCATGAAATTACAAAGTTATTCATGACTGGGCTTCAGGCACACAATGTTTCAACACCAATTCTTCCACCAGTGTCCCCACCCCCTACCCCATTTGCCTCCTACCCACTGATCTGCTGCATGAGAGGTGCTGTTTCTCTTTATATCATGTGGTTTACAATACCTTTGCTGATAGGGTTTCATATATAACACTTCACCACCTCTCAGCACCCCACCCCCTTCCTGGATGGAAGTTGCCCCTCAGGTGGCATGTGTCCTACTGAACACCAGCTCTCATGTTCTTTGTTTCCATTGTTTTTAGGGATTCCTTATTCCACCATTATGTTTCTTTATATCCTGCATATGAGAGAGATGATTCTGTGTCAGTCTCTCTCCCCTTCACTGAGCATGAGACTCTCCAGATCCCTCCAAGTAGCAGCAAACTGCATGGCTTTATCTTTTACAGCCAAGCAGCATTCCATTGTGTACATGTAGCATAGTTTCTCTACCCTGTCATCTATTCTTGGGCATTTGGATTGTTTCCAGATTTTGGCTACTTTGATTAGTGCTTCAAGGAGTACAGGGGTGCCAATGCCTTTTCTCCATTTTGTTTTCAGGCCCTTGGGTTATATTCCAAGATGTGAAGCTGCTGGGTCAAATGGAAGCTCAATTTCTAGATGTTTTAGGAAAGTCCATTTTGTTTTACAAAAAGGCTAGACCAGTCAACATTTTCACCAGCAGATAATGGGAGTCACTTTCTCCCTACATCTATACCAGCACTGGTATGTGATTTTTTTTTGGGGGGTGGAATGCCTCTTAAGCAGTGCTTAGGAGATCTGGGGGGCAGTTCAGTGCAAAGGCCCTGTGGTATCATGGGTCACTCTGGGATGCTTGGGTGACTTTGAGATGCCAGGACTGAATCCAAGTCTAGAGCATACTGGGCATGCATCCTAAATGCTGTGCATCTTCTACCTCATTATGTAATTGTCTTTAAGTTAATTAGACAGGAAATAATGGAAGTGTTTTTATCTATTAAAATAGTATGCTATTTAGCATTTAATTTCAGTAGTTGGCTGTATTCTGATTATGTAGTTGTCCAGATAGTGCAGCCTTTTCTCGCATCTTAGAGACATTAAGAGAAATACTTTGCAGTTCTGTTAGGAAGCTGCTAACTGTCTGAGATATGACTCACTCTCTCAGTGGAAGAAGGCCTTAGTGGGAGGGAAAATTTCTAAGTATATACATGACTGAAAGTTAGAGTGTTTTGGGGTAGTCATCGATTTTTGGGGTAGTCATCGATTTTTTTCCATTTTTTTAACCCAGTATATGGTGAGTGAATATTCCTCTACCAGTTATGACCCTGTGCTGATGTCTGGGGAAGAGAGGGGAAGCTGGAGTACTCAGGAGTCTGGTGAAAATGCTGGAGGTGTGGGTGGCAGGAACCTGGACAGACAAATAGAGGATGGAGAGTCTGCGCACATGGCTTCCAGATCCCTGCCCTGTGCAGTTAAATGTACCCTAAGCCATAATATTGTCTCTAGTTCTCTGTAATTCCAATTACTTAACTTTCACTTGAATAAATAAAAGTATTATTTATAACTATGGGGTAAAAGGGAGAACTCTTATTATCCAATAGAGATGATTGGTGAAATAAATTAATGAACATTCATAAATGAAGCTCTGCAGTACTTAAAAATCAGGCAAAAATATTGTCTAATGGCCTGAGACATGTACACCATCTGGCAAGCAGAGAAGGGCCTATCTGCAGTAGTGTGATGTTCGTTTGGCAGTGCCGCATTCTCACCTGGGCTGCCTGTTGAAAATCGATCTCTCTGCCCCCATGCTCTCTCCTGGGCCTCCCCTGCTCGACTTAGCTGCTAACACCCTCTAGGATTTACTTGTTTATAGTATTGGATATTGTCT